CTTCTTCTTTTTCTTTATTATTATTATTATTATTATTATTATTATTATTATTATTATTAGTATTAGTATTACTACTACTACTAGTATTATTATTATTATTGTTATTGTTGTTGTTGTTGTTGTTGTTGTTGTTATTATTATTATTATTAGTATTATTATTATTATTACTACTACTACTACTAGTAGTATTATTATGAGAGTGTGGTGGTAGACTTTATAGGGTATCCTCATCATTTTCAGAAAATATGGCCAAAAAAGATAATCAATCACTTCATAATGAGAATAATGAGAATAACCGTGTTAGAACACTTAGAGATCACATGAATCCCACAAGAATAAGTGCACCATCATACATTGTCTTTCCTCCTAATGCATCTCATTTTAATTTTAAACTAGACATCATTCAACTTTTACCTTCTTTTCATGGCTTAGATTTGGAAAATCCATACTTGCATTTAAGGGAATTTGAGGAGGTTTGCAACATATATAATGATTCAAATTATAGCATGAACACCATCAGATTAAAGCTTTTTCCTTTTTTATTAAAAGATAAAGCTAAAACATGACTATAAAATTTGAGACCAGGATCCATTCGTGCTTGGGATGAAATGCAACAACAGTTTTTAAAGAAGTTTTTCCCATCTCAGAGAACAAACTCTTTCAAAAGACAAATCACCACTTTCACTCAAAAACTAGGAGAAACATTTTACCAATGTTGGGATAGGTATCTAGACTTGCTTAATACTTGTCCTCATCATGGTTTTGAAACATGGAGATTGGTTTCACATTTTTATGAAGGGTTAACACCTAGAGATAGACAAATGGTTGAATTGATGTGCAATGAAACTTTTGAAGATAAAGACCCTGATGAAACAATGAAGTACTTAAACTTATTAGCTGAAAAAACTCAAAATTGGGACACCGCGGGTACTTATGAGGCACCGAGTAAAACTCAATCTCATACATCTAGTGGAGGTATGTACAACCTTAGGGAAGATCATGACCTCCAAGCTAAGTTTGCATCTTTAGCTAGAAAAGTCGAGACACTAGAATTGAAAAAGAGTGGGTAATTAAAATTTGTTAAAAACATTGTGTGTCAAATATGTGAAACAAATGAACACTCAACCAATGATTGTCCAACCTTGCCTTCTTTTAAGGAATGTCTCCATGAACAAGCTCATGCTTTAAATAGTTTTCAAAGGACTAACTATAACCCATACTCCCAAACATACAATCCTGATTGGAGAAATCACCCAAATTTCAACTGAAAGAGTGATAATAACAATGTACAAACTTCACAACCACCGTTTCAAGCACACCATAATTTCCAAAATTATCATGGATATGCACCTCCTTATGCTCCACCTCCTTAAAGAAATCTTGAGGAAATATTGCATGCATTCATTGAAAAGCAAAAGACAATCAATACTCAACTTACTCAAAACATGATAGATTTTAAAGATACTCTTGCAAAATTGACATTTGCTCTTAGTTTCCAAGAGACAGGTAAGTTTCCATCTCAACCACAACAACATCCCAAGGGGCAATACAATGCAAATACAAGTAGTTTCAGAAGCCAACACATGGATCAAGTCAAATCAATCACTACTCTTCGTAGTGGTAAGGTTATTGAAAAACCCACTCTTGAACCTTGTGAGAAAGATGATAAGTCAATCTCTGAGGGTAAGGAAGGAGTTGAATCTAAAAATTACAAAGAAACGACTAATTCCCCGCTAGTACTTCTATTTCCTCAAGCCATGACCAAACAAAGAAAAGTCAATCACAACTCTGAAATTTTTGAAACTTTCAAACAGGTAAGAGAATCAATATACCTTTGCTGGATGCTATTAAACAGGTTCCTTTCTATGCTAAATTTTTGAAAGATCTATGCACTATGAAGAGGAAACTGAATGTGAAAAAGAAAGCCTTTTTAGCCGAACAAGTAAGTGCCATTCTTCAGAACAATAATGCTTTGAAATATAAAGACCCTGGTTGTCCTACAATTTCTTGCTTTATTGGAGAACATAAAATTGAAAGAGCCTTGATCTTGGAGTTTGTGTGAATTTACTTCCATATTCAGTTTTTTAGAGTCTCAATCTAGGTGAGTTAAAACCAACTTCTATATAACTCTTTTACTTGCCAATAGGTCTGTAAAAGTGCCTAGAGGAATAATTGAAGATGTGCTAGTACAAGTCGATAAATTTATTTATCCTGTGGATTTTATTGTCTTGGACACACAACCTATTGAAGTATGTAATTCATTTCCTGTTATTTTAGGACATCCGTTTCTTGCAACTTCTAATGCATTGATTAATTGTAGGAATGGACTGATGAAGCTATCATTTGGAAACATGATATTGGAGATGAATATTTTCAACATTTGCAAGCAACCTAGAGATGATAATGATTTATAAGAAGTGGACTTTACTGAAAAATTAATTCATGATCAATTTCCAACCACTTCCAATGAAGTTGAGATTGATGAATCTGATGATTTGCAAATGGTTTATTTTTAGGAAGAATCAAAGTCAAGTAATTGGAGACAACAAATTGATGAGTTGCCACCACGATCAATTAAGTCCATACCTTCAAGTGTTCAACCACCCAA